TATATATATATATATATATATATATATATATCTTTGCTGTAAAAGAATATATATTAAAAAAAAAGTGTAGCAGCACGTGTACGGGTAAGAAGCAGAGTGGGGAGCTACATAGCAGTTGGAAACTCTTTCCTACGCAATTAGAACTTATTTCTATGTTGCTATTAAGCATCAAAGCTATGATGACTTGATTTTATGAACGTCTACTTCCGTTTCATGAATGATTGTTTATTGTTTTAGAATTTTATTTTACTTTATTTTGTTAGAAACCTCACTCTCTTCTTTCATAAGTTATCATGTAAATTAAGAGGGTAAGCAGTTATATCTGAAAGTTGCAGTGGAATCTGCACTATCAACACATTTTTTCTTATTTTATATTATACCAAAGAAAAGAAGAAAAAGAATAATTTTTCATTTTCTCAGACTATATATAAATAAAAAATTACTTTCCTATTTCTTTTCTTTATTTTCTTTTTCACCTCTATCTGATATGGAAAATGTAATCCGCTTTCTGAAAACTCCTCCCAGAAGGAAAAACTTCATGCAAACGATTAGGAAACTATGGACAAGAACCACTGATTTTTGTCTCTCCTTATAACAAGCTCATGCACCAGACATGAAAGTTGAAAGATCATATTTTTTTCATCACGGGGACTGGAATCTAGAACTTCATAATCATTGTTAGATGGTCAGAGCAGATGATAGACACACCAACACTACATAAGTATTGTCCAGATGTCCATAAACTAAATGAAAGTCCCTATTAAGATACCAGGAACAAAATAATTCCCACTAAAATTTGATATTTTATATAATCATCCTTTCTCTACAAAGGTAAATATATCCCTATCCAAAACAACATACCAACTAGTAACAATCTCAAATAAGTGAATTACAATGAGGTAGTCTAGGCTTCTACACAGAACTAAGCTACATTTTCAAACTGCTGCATGATACTCATCTATGGTTTGTTTCATTGCATCCAACTGTGACATAATAAATTCCGCTTTCTTGTAACAAATCTCGTTGGCTATTCTTGAACCATAGTCACATTTCTCAAACGGACGATATTCACAAGCACTCTTGATTTCATCACGCAATGCTACCTGAATGTCCTACAAGATTTAAAAGAATGAAGTTAAGAGCATTTACAAAATTACAGCACAAGATTAAACATCAAATTCATGACAATGAACTCAAACAAGAACAAAGTCCATTGATGATATGCTCACTGCTTAGTTTATGAGAAATTTACAGTATCATTTTCATCATTTAACTCCGGATAACTAAACTTGCTGACAGTTAGGGAGACATTAAATATATATTTGGGTATTACACTTGGGTAATTTAACACACAGTACAATACAAACTAAACAGAACTCATTCTTGCCACATTATATATTCTAAATAATTTCATTTAGCAGTACCTACACACCAGTTACCTATATATTCACTTAGTTATTGTCTTGTTGACATTTAAAGTATATAATTCTTGGCAGAATTAGGAATTCATTTCATCTCTACAATTTCGGTTTCTTGAGTTTATGTTTAATTTGTTTGTCATAGCTTAGTATTGTTTGACTCACCTAACTAATGCATGTAATTTGTCCAGGACAATTAGCCTTAATTCTAAATTTGAATAAGAGTATTTTGAACATATTAAATTTTCTCTTTGCCACAATACAAAGACCAAAATTACAAACAAGGTGATCTTTATCATAGGTTGAAATATAATAACAAGTAGTTAGGTTTTGGAGCTTAAAAACAACTTTAAATTGAAGTTAAAAATAAGGGCTTTAATTTAAGGTTGTTTAGTAATTATGTAACATTAAGATCAAAACATACTTTTAAGTTAAAATTATAATGTGTTCAAGGATCTTGGGAGTTGAAATAAAAAGGAAAGTTAGAAGTAAAAGCCAAAAGCTCCTAAAACTGTTGTTTTTAAAAGCTCCATTTCCGAAGTTTTATTCATTACGCAGTTACTTTTCTAAAAAACCTTTTAAAATATTTTGTTTGGCCAAGCTTCTCCTTTCCAGGAGGACCTAAACTCAAAATAAGTTAGGCTAAGCCCTGCCAAAATATGCATTATTAGGGGAAAAGGAAAAGGAGCGAAAAGTTTGATAGGTTAGGCAATGGCTTGAGTATCTTTAAGTGTGAATAGACAGATCATATGATTGTTTGACACATGTTTAGATTATCATTATTTAAGACATTTATGTATGGTAATACCACAGATTCAGAGTTCATATTCCAGCGAAGAGAAATACAGGCTGCAAGTAATATACGTATAGGTGGTGTTAGAATAAGGGGTTAGGAAAGCCTATGGGACTGGGTTCCTGTCAATTGAGTTGGAGTTATTGACTTTTAGTTAGATTTCTAACTGAATTTGGCAAATATAGGATAGTAAGAGAGAGAGAAAGATTAGTTATGTTGTTTACTTGCAGATTGGTTTTGGGGGAGAGATCTCAGACTCTTGAGATCCAGAGAACAACTTTTATTCATTTGTTCTCTTTCTAACCAGGATTCACTGATTCATTGATAACGAAGATATCAATAAAATCCTATCTTTCCTTACATTCTTTCACTAATTTCTGAACCAGTACCTAGCAAAAGATTAGTGTAAAGTATATAAAATTGGTATATAATGCCTACTGTTCATCTATATATATCGGTAATTATTTAAATGAGACCACTTTAATTAGACTAGTGCAGTTTTGATTTTTGGGACTTGAACTCATAATGACATCCTCTTAACATACATGTATAGACAAAACAATAAATTGATTTCTGGGAGACAAAGACCTTGATTAATTGCATGAACTCAAGGCAGTGGCTTTGGACTATATCTTTCCTAGGACCAACAGGGCTAGCAAGCTCATCCATGACTCCTCCTGCAAGCTCCAAAACCTTCACAATTCTCTTCACACCACCGACAGAAAGGAGAAAAAATCAATAAAAACAAACTATGATGTTCCGTCTCTTTCAGGACTTCTTTATAAATGTTTTCAAAATATTACCTTTTCCACATTCTGAAGTCTCTGCAAAGAAGTCGTCTGGCCTTGTGAATCCATGGATGTCGATTCCTTGTGTTCCTCTCTAATTCAGGTTTATAAAATAAATCATTATGGGGACAAACAAATTATCAAAAAGACTGGATAACCATGCAAATTAACAATGTCATAATCACATAAAGTGGCAGTGTTGTTAAATAGCTGCTATAGCGGCACTATAAAGCTATTGCATTGTGGAATTCGTTGATTCCACATCATGACTCTATCTGCTATAGCGGCCACCATGGTGTCATGTTTGCAGCATGTATCCTACATCCTCTACTCATCCCTGCTAAGTCTCCAACTAATTGAACTTTTGATTTGATATATGTCAAATTTTATGCATTTGATTTTTATTTACATACAACTTACATTTATACACATAATTTATAGATATCATATATTTTAACTGCTAGCAACTTTCACTATTTGTTGGAGATTCTATCTGCTATATGATATAGCAGATTACTGGCTTTCTGCCATTGATAGCATTCGTGACAACAGTAGAGTTGGGATGCATCAGATTGCAAGGACTTATAAGTAAATAGAGTGGGTCAATATGGTCCACAGAGCTATGGCCAACCAACCAATGGGCCAAATTATCAATTCAAGATACAAAAGTTGAATATTAGGGCTAGGGGCAGGGGCAACTTTGTATGTCTTTGGACTTCTGAGAGAAAAAATATAAAAATCTAACAATTCACCAAATAATAAGTTTTATTCTAATAATTTATAATTCAACCTATAAAATTGACCACAAATTATATGAACTGCAAGTAGAGATTCACATCTGCAAAGAGATAACAAATACAAGACAAGTTCAAATTGTAGAAAAAATTACGAGACGCACCACATCCATTTTTCATTGTGATGTAACCAGTGAAGATGCAAACATCACTGATAGTGATATAGATATGTTTCTCGCTTTCTTGAGATACAGCAACATGCCAACAATTGTTAAATTATGCAATGAAAAACACTCCTGACCGGTTTCAAAACAATTCAGAACCGGTTCTCTAACCCATAACCAATTTTCACACTCAGTTGTGGAAATCAAACATTACATAAGCTTTCAAAATCAAAGTAATGGGATGGCTAGGTTAATCCTTCCTCTGAAAGGGGCATCAATAGTTTGATTTTCAGAAACCATGGTATCATTGGGTTGATTTCAGAGTGGAATAAAGCATTATCAAATCTCATATGTAACCCAAATAATAATTATAATAAAAAAAAAAGAACCAAACCTTCTGGTGCTTCCTGTTGACCTAAGCGGAGCGGAGGTGCGACGTCGTATGCGGAGGTTCGAGGTAGTGAGGGGTGCGACCAAAGCAAGGGATTTGTGACTTTCAGAATTTATGAAGTTTAAGTGAGCCTCTTAGACTTGGTGACATTTCTTTTTATTCAATGGAAAGACAATACAAAGCAAAGGGGAAGACTTAACTAACTTTGATTTCAAATTAACATTGTTTAATTAAAAAATATATTTGGTATAAAAAGTTAACAAATATATTATTAATAATTATATAAATTATATATAAAATTTTAAAATTAAATAATGTGGGCCCATTATTAACATGTACTTCAAAATTATAAGTAATATCATTCACATACATTCATCAACATTTTTTATTTAATTTTAAATGATATATAATGATAGATTAATATTATTTAATTTTGAAAAATAAGAAATTTTATATGTAATAAAATTTTAAGAGACCAAAATTATATGAGAATCAAAAGTAAAGTTAAGTCTTATAATTATAATATGTATATATATATATATATATATTATATTTTTAATTATAATATATATAATTATAATTTGCATCATTAAATATAGTATATACGTATAATAATTTTTAGTTTGTACAATCTATCTAATAAATTTATATTTTAAATAATAAATTGCATAATAAATAAACATTTTTGTATACATAAATTATGGAGTTGACTACTTTATGGTGATTTTCGATTAAAAAAAAAGTGCTTGTGCTATATTTTACTAATAAGTAATTGTGTTTAATAACAATTATCATTAGAACATGATAACATGACATGAGAAATTGTTTAAAAATAAACAAAGACTATTAAATACATAACATTGTTTATGAATTAAAAATAATTAATATTTTTTAGTCTAAATCCTTTTAATAATAACACAAATCACTCACACAAATAAAAATAGTAATGCATCATCAATCTTTTGTCACTTACAAATTAAAAACTAGTCACTTATATATTTTTCATATAATTTCTTTATTTTTAGTATTTAATATTTTTATATGCATTATATTAAGTGTGTAAATCCTATTATTAATTTTTTTGTGTTAAATATTATTTATTATGTTCAATTAAATTAATATTTAATTATAATAATTATATTAATATTATAAGTGTAACGACCCAACTGGTCACTACACACCCCACATCACACTAGAAACACCACACAGAAAAGAACAAGTGTATACATATAGAGTCTAGAATATACATATACATGATCCAAATCTGGATAGAGTTAAAGTGTACAAAATACAATCAAATGCTATTACACCAAGTAGCTCAATAACAAAACATCACAAAAGATCCGCTCCGCCTGTCAGCTAAAGGCTCACCATCAGCCACCCACCTATCCCTGCTCTATTCTCATACATAGTATGATCATTGCAGTCCAAACATCATGGAGACAACAAAGGGTAAGCTAGTGAAAAGAAATCAACATACTTATATAACAACATACTAGTAAACAGCTACAACTTATACTACATCACAGCTTTAAACCATATCAGCACCGCAAAGCGACAATATCAGCACTGCTTAGCAGCAATAACAGCACCACTCAAGTGGCTATAACAGCACCGCATAGCGGCTATAACAGCACCACATTAGGGGCTAATATCAGCACCGACATAGCGGCTAGAACAGCACCACAATAGTGGCTATAACAGCATACAACTCAGCACAGCACAACACAGCTAATCAACTTGCAGCACGACACAACAATTCAGCATACAGCACAGCAATATATATAATACAGCTTAGTTCAACATATGATAACATAAATCGACAATTTCAACAAAATTTAACAGCTATCAGCAGGTAATTCAACAGCATCACACGCGCCCGGCGCACTCATGGTCGCGCCCAGCGCGGCTCAACCAGAGAGCACCAGGGGCCAGCGCCCAGCGCAAGAGTACTCGCACCCGGCGTGACCCAACCCGAGAGTCCAAGGCTCTCACGTGTCTGGCGCAATTTTAATTGTGCCCAGCGCCTGCCAGGTAGAGACTCTAAGGAGTCTCGCGCGCCCGGCGTGGGGAAGGCAGAGACCTACCAAGGTCTTGCCCCCAACGCAATTTGAATTGCGCCCGATGCCCTCAAGGCAGAGACTCCCAAGGAGCCTCCGCGCCCAGCGAGTCCAAACGCGTGCCTAGCGCGGCACCAGAAGTCCCAAAACATGCCACAACTGGTATCGCGCCCGGCGCAACTCAAGTCACGCCCGGCGGGGGCCAACCAGAGGCTCTCATCCTCAAACTCACCCGGCGCACACACCTTTGCGCCTGGCGAGCTTGCCTAAATAGAGCCTCCTAGAGGTCACGCGCTCGGCGCAAAGAACAGCGCCCAGCGCGAAGAACAGTTCTAAACTCTCTAGGTGGGTAGGTGCTAATCCAGTTGAGGGGAACTAGCTGAACCGTGTGGGACTCTCCTATTCTCAAGCTTTCTCTTCTCCACATCTCCTTCATTGTCGTCTTCCTTCCCGAAGCTCGGAGCCGTTGAACCGAGGTAAGGGAAGCTAGTACTTTTTTTTCTTTCTTTTCTTCGCTGTTTTTGGCTGTGGATGAGTTCTAGAGACTCATTAGATGCTTATTGATGACTGATTAGTGGTTGCGTTGAAAGAGAACTTGTTTTTGGAGTTTCGGGGTGTTTGAGAAAATTTGGGGGAAATCCTTGATTTGTTGTTGCATGTTGAAAAAGGTAGCATTTGAAATATCTCTATCTTTTTTTTATCTTTTCTTTTACTTCAAAAATAATTTATCCTTTTTTTTATATGACCGTTCATGCTACAATTTATTTAGAAATTTTTTTTATCTTCTAATTTAATTTAATTTTTATTTATCATAATATTATACTATAATATAAATTATTTATCATAAATCTTAAATATAATTTGTATATTAGTGTAAAAAAATTGTAATTTATATATTTAAAAATATTTATTTATATAAATTTTAAATATAATTTATATATTTAAATATAATATTTATTTTTATATAATTAATTTATTATAATTTATAGTTATATGTAATAAATATTTAATTTGTTCGTTAGATAGACTGAAAAACTAGTTCTATATACGTTCTTTTCTACTACTTTTAATTGAAGCAAATTATTAGGTGGTTATTGATTCAATTCAAAATAATAAAAAAGATATTTGATAATTTGGTTTAATTGTTTCCAAATCATAGATATTTTGAAGTTAATTCTCCGATTTAATTCAATTTTTAGGAGAGAGATTAATTTAATATTTCATTCTCTATCTAACAATTAAGAACGTAATCTCTTTTGACTAATTTAGTGTTTTTTTTATTGTATTTATACCTTTACGCACTAGCCTCGGCCATCTCGGCCGCCGATATGACCAGAGCATAAAGACTCAGTTAGTTCAACACGACTCTCGGACATGACAATGACCGTGATAAAAAACCTATGAGACCATCGAAAGCTTGGCCGGGACAGCGTAATTGGCTGGCCTTCTCACTAATGTCTCAGCTCAGCAAGAGGTCGAGACCAAAAGGCAACCTCGATGTTACATCTCTCGGCTCGGCTAACAGCCGATAAGACTAAGTAGTGATTAAGACAACAATCATGACTAATAAGGACAAACACATAATTAAGGCATAATCAGCCGATTAGCACCGTATTACCTAATTTAGTAAGTGCTAAAAGAGGTCCACCATGTTCAAGGCCCATTACAAGTAGTATAAATAGGTCACATAAAACGAAGTATGCACTGTTCATTTATTACTATCGAGATTCGTGTTTGTCTTGACTTAAGTTTCGGAATGCCTTTTGCAGGTACCTCCCCCTTCTGGAGCGTCATCCCGAAGCTCTCGTTCGGCCATCAAATTACTAGAAGATTACGAGCGTGCCCTCAGACAGATACATAAATCATATTTAAAATATTTTAAAATCCCTCTATTTTCTTCCAAATCCCTCCAATATTAGATGAGAGGTAAAATTGGATGAGGAGGGATTTTTCTCCCATTTCCTCTTAAAAATAGAATCAAACAAAGAAAAATTAAAAATATCTTATGTGAGACCCCTTTTTAATCCCTTTTCTTTCTTCCCCGGACACTCTCTCCTTTTCTTCTCACTCACCTTGCTGACCCTTTTTTCTTATTCACCATCACTTTCTTGCTTTGGACTCAAATTCTCTAAACTCTCTAGGTGGGTAGGTGCTAATCCAGTTGAGGGGAACTAGCTGAACCGTGTGGGACTCTCCTATTCTCAAGCTTTCTCTTCTCCACATCTCCTTCATTGTCGTCTTCCTTCCCGAAGCTCGGAGCCGTTGAACCGAGGTAAGGGAAGCTAGTACTTTTTTTTCTTTCTTTTCTTCGCTGTTTTTGGCTGTGGATGAGTTCTAGAGACTCATTAGATGCTTATTGATGACTGATTAGTGGTTGCGTTGAAAGAGAACTTGTTTTTGGAGTTTCGGGGTTTTTGAGAAAATTTGGGGGAAATCCTTGATTTGTTGTTGCATGTTGAAAAAGGTAGCATTTTTGGACTCTTGGATGAAAATGTAGTAATTTGAACCGATTGCATGTGGAGTTTTCTGATTTTTTGCAGATTTTTGAAGAGTTTTCGAAAATATGAGGTTTGTTGCTGAACTCGCGCTGGGCGTATTTCTTCGCGCCGGGCGCGTACTATTTTTAGTGCGATTCCACTAAATGTAAGGACCACGGCGGGTCGTTACATCTATTTTAAATTATAGGAACTAAAAGTTAAAGTAAGTGAAATTTTAAAGAGTAAAAAAACATTTTAATCATAAAAAAATTTATAAAAAGTGTAAGTTACTTCATAATGATGCAACATAATAGATCTATTAAATTAATCATTGATTGATTTTCTAATTAATAATTGTGAATGCATTTTATATCTTAAAGTATAGCATTCACTTTTAAAGAGTCAAATTCATATATTATATTATAATTAAAATTTATAATAAATAAATATTTTTATTAAATAAATTATATTTTAGATTTATGATAAAAAAATGTATATTGTGTCATAAAATTATTTTAATTATTAGTAATTTTTAAAATATTAAAATTTAACTTAGAAATAATCATGTTCAAGAAATAAATTAACGTTATTAGCCTTAATTGATTAGAAGAAAAATACCATATTGAATCGTTTCAAAAAAAATTAAGAAAATAAATTAGACCTTTTAATAATTAAGAAAGAAAATTG